ACGTGTGCTCTTCCGATCTCCCCAAAACCCCAAAACCCCGAAGATCCAGTATTTGCTTGGATCAATTATAGAATAAATTTTAATCTAACAATTATAATTTTAATACTATAATATCGTTGTTATTAAAATGAGTAAAGCATTGACACTGGAGTTAATCCACATGAAAACCAAAACGAATCGAATAGACAGCATTAAGAATTTAAACCTTTGGGGAAACGACTTAGATGACATTTCTATAGTTAATTAAATGAATGCTTTAGAAGTGCTTTCTCTTTCTGTTAACAATATCTCTACTCTAAAGGATGTCCAAAATTGCTATAATCTCAGAGAGCTCTACTTGAGAAAAAACTCTCTCTCTGACATTCAGGAAGTTAGATATTTGCAGCCTTTAAGAAAGCTTAGAATTTTATGGCTCGGTGAAAATCCAATAGCAGATATCTAAGGTTACAGGCAATTTGTGATTAAGTGCCTTCCTCAAATTGAGAAGTTAGATAATGACATGATTTCAGGAGAAGAAAAATAGAGATCTGACAATGTTGATCTAGATGATTTCGGGGGACAGGTACCCTAATCTAAAATTTCCCCACCGAGAAAGGAATAATTGCAAGCATACAATCAACCTCCGAAAAGAGCATAAACATAATTCTAGGCTTAGTAAGATTTCTCAGGAGTAAGTAATATTAAATGAAATAGTTAAAGATATAAGATGTCTGATAAAGATATCAATTTACCAACTGTTAAATTAGATCAGATTTTTATACAAGTTCGTTTAGGATGATATGATGGATAATTTTGTATCATAAAAGCAACCTTAGGCCTAATTTGCATATGGTGGTGGAGGGAAAGTTCAAAGAAGTCCACCGTAAAGCAAAAGGAACATTGTCCAAGATGGTTATAACTCACCAAGGTCCAACAATCGTAATGACAGAAATATCTCGCCTCAAGAGAATTTCGGAGGAGCTGGGGCTGGTTTCGCTGCAGCAAAGGTAAAACATTCTCCTAAATAGAGTTATCAATAACAATATGATTCACAGCTTGACAGAGGCATCGGTGGTGGAATGTATGATGAACCTCCAAGATAATATGAGCAGCAGCAGTAATAGAGAAAACCATATCAATAGGCGTAACAGCAAATGCCTCATCATAACTACTAAAGAGCATAGACTGCATAGGTTGATTATGAAAGAAATGAACAAAGTCCGATAGGTAATAAAAAGGCAGGTGGCGGTGGCGCTGGTGATCTTACTGGCCAACTGCAGCCTCACTAGGTTAGAGAGAAGAAAAATGGAACCAGAGAGCAATTTAGGAACGAAAATATTCTCTGTGCAATAATTGCATTAATGAAGGAACTTGACAAGAGTGGTCTTGAATTCGTAAAGAAAGATTGTGAGAAGAGACTATAGAAATTAGAGTGACGTAAATCTAAAGATTAATACAAACCAATATGCTCGAGATGAATTCAACAATGATTTATTTTTATTTGTGCAATATCTATAATTTTTTCACAATATTTTTCTTTAATTCCGATGAGTGGGGTTTTGGGGTTTTGGGGTTTTGGGG